CCTAACCCTAACCCTGACCCTAACCTTAACCTAACCCTAACCTCATCCTAACCCTAAACCATGTTGCCACCCTAAAATTCAATTTCTTGCCCATGGGGACCTCAATTTAGGTCCCCACCATGAAATGGGTCCTCATGAGTTGGTATGGAGTCAGGAAGAAGTCCCCACGTAGCAGGAAAAACACATCCACACACACACGCTTGCTTATGAGAGCCGGGAAAGTTTGTATGTGTGTTTTTATGGGGTCATATGGGACAATGTTTCAATAGCGCATTGTATGACCAACGTTTCATTGTTTGGGATTAAAGTTATAAACAGGAGACACACTTTAATCTGCACGGAGGGATGGTGTTCCCGAAGGTGTTTGTTTTTGAGATATCCAAAGTAATCCTGAGCTGCTGATTTTAATGTCTGATTCACCGGATGGGGTTTGGTGATGTGTATGCTGCATGTGTGTGTGTGGCGACGGTTGCAGAGACTGACAGGCAGTCGTGGAAGAAATGTGTGCATACTTCACGTTTTTTTTTTCCTTCAATACCAGTAATAAGCAAATGTGCATGATAACAGTCAATTTTCATACCATGGTGTATCGTGAAACCGGTATATCGGTTGTGAAAATTCCTGATTTGTTAATGCTGTTTCACCAAAAAAATAATACATGTGGCTTCTATTTCACTGTCACACCATCAGTGTCATTTATGATGACCCACTTCTAAAACACCCTGACATGCCTGCACATGACTTGTCATCTTCAGGTTCTTGTCAGTGTTTCAGGCTGTGATTATTGTAAACAATCAGAAGAAATGAAATCACTGAATGCAAAGGGAAGGGCTGTGCGATCACCCAAATGAGTCAGCTGCAATGAACTGTTAAGGAGCTGCCCAATCAGAAACTGTGTTCTTACCTTGCTGCCTGGTGATTGGGCAGGGCTAAGTTCATTACTCAGCATGGAGAGACCGTCCCTGTCTGTCTCTCTGCCTGGTGGGAACCCACAACACACAGTCACATACAAATGAACTCGGTGAATAAACCTGCTGACAGACAATTAAAGCATGGCAGCCCCCAAAAGCTCGTAATAAGCAGCAGCTGAGGTTAAGAAACACATAAGAAAAGTACAGCACAGTACACCGTGTCATTTCACATGTTACTGAAATATCAGATTTTGTCATATACACATTCCATTCGCCAGCTTTGACCTTGTCAGCCTTTTACCTGGGCTGAAGTTGTAGAGGTCGTTGTCTCCTCCATAAGACAGGTTCCGGGTGAGGGAGCGGGCGTCAATTTTGGGCGGGGAGGTGGTGCTGGGGCACAGAGAAAACCTCCGATGGAACAAATTCTCTTCCTTCATCCTGACAACCTGCTTTTCCTCTGCAGAGGGAGAAAGACAAAAGGGTGAAAAGAGGGGAGGGAAGAAGATGAGGAAAGGAAGAAAGAAACAAGTATGGAAAAAAGGAAACTGATTAGAGCAATGTCACTTTCAAGATGCGATGTATTCTTAATATTGGGATTTATAAACAAGCTGTCATTCTCCATCTTCTTCTGTATGGTCTATATTTCTTTGTCTGAACCCCCACCCTGTCTTTCCTCTCCTACACTGACAAAGACCTACTATACGAGGACATGTCAGCCTGTCCACACAATGGCAGTGTGCATGGCAGTGACAAGCGATTCAGACTGCATGCTGTCAGTGTGCACGACAGATAGAGGCTCCAACCAATTTCAGTCACTCTGTCCACAGTCCCACTGACCAAGACGATGCACACCACCAATTAATACGCTTTTAATACACAAACTGCTTCACCCAAAAGGAGCGGGGGTTGTTCCCTTGAGATAATGAAACGCACATCAGCACACTTAAAGGTGACAAATGCACCTACTGCTGATGTGCATGATTCATGCTATCACTGTACTGTTGTCAGTTTACATCAGTGAGTGGATGAGTCATATTCCTAGGCCACCATGCCCACATAAAGTTGACAATAACAAACACAAAAACCCACACAGGCATACACATACTGTACATGAGTCTCAATGTACAAAGACAGAACAGGGTCAAGACTCACTCTTCTGCGTGTCAGATGTTAACAGACATGTTTTCTTCTTTGATACCTGAAGACACAATGTCATAGCACTTAGCATTTCTTTGCCAGTTTGCTGCTCTCTCTTATGGCTTGTTTTCTCCTCTACTGGCGTCTGCAGTTACCGGCAGGTTGCAAACTATTGGCATGTTATTAAAAACAGTTGAGAGTCACGGCTGTTTCCAGAAAGATTATTATGCTTGTTCAAACAAGTGGTGAGCTGATCAAAGCAAAGTGGAGCTGATGATGAAACACTGATGTTAAGGGAGCGTGGCCATTACCACCTGAGTCTGTCTGGATGGCTCTGCTCTGCTCTACCCCGATCAATATAATCCAATTCATTTTATCTCAGTGCGCCAACACATACACCAGACAAGACCCTCTCACTCTCAGCCTACAGAGCAGTCTCGCCTACAAGTCCTCAATTTACAACATCCAACAACATAAAAAAGTCCTCAATTTACAACATCCAACAACAGAATGTTACATAAAAATTCATTCATAAGACCTTTTTACAAACTCTCCCACATTATTCAACTGTAGCTACACTGGTACACATGTCAAAGTGTACAGTATGTACTGTACGTGACAAGTAAAAATCTGGAAGTTGACAGTGGTTTGATATGGGAAATGCGTGTAGTGCTGCAGGAGTCTAGGTGGTTAATAAACTGTACCGTGCCTCTCTAAATACATAAATGTGCATTTTCAAAACACAAAGAGCACACCAACATCCATATACTTGTCACACCACTCCCTGCTTCCCTCCGCTTTCTGCCCTGCCTCTATGACTCGTTCTCTCAACCTTCTCATTTCTGATCTTGTAATCTCTTCTGTAAATTTCTTCCTCCTGCCCTTTCTCTTTTGTCCTTTACAAAAGGCAGCTATGAATCACCGTGATATCAGGGTGAAAAGATAAATTTATTCTTCTCCACACGGAGCCTCATTTCTCCTTGTGGAGCAGATCTATAAATAGCCTTCCATTGCTGCAGTGCATGGGAAGAACAGTGCTGCACCCTGAGTGGGGCGCAGGCCACATGGAAACGCTTTAACATCACAGTACACACAGTGGGCTGTACTGTCGACAGACACACGCATAGAGAATTAGTACCACTTACAGTATAGGCCCAAAGGCGGGTCAAGATGTGGGCATATGTGCAGAATGACAGGCCAAGCCAACTGCAGCTGATTCTTACAGCTGCAGGGTGGGATTTATAGGAAGGAAGGCTTTGTATGTGTGAGCATATTAGGCAGTCTAGACTGAGTATGGGTGTGACATCCGTGCACACTTAATGCATCTGTGATGTGTGTGGGCCTCTCAATTGAGCAAGTACTGTACAGTATCCAGGACATGCTAGTAGTGTTTGTGCCTTTGTTAAATGACGTAAGCATTAATAAACTGAGTATGTGGATGTGCATATGTGACCAAGCGTGTGTGCCTGCCTTGCTGCTTAAGTCTGGGAGGATTACACATGCAGATGATGTAGTGCCAAAGGAAAGAGAAAAATGTTCTTCTCCAAATAGTCAATCCCAGCAGCAGGGGCGAAGCAAGCCACACCAATGTACAGAGCACACAAACACATCAGCACTGGTGCCTGGACTTACTACATCACAGGGGGTGGGAAAATGTTTATGTGTGAGAAGCATTACAGCCATTGACTTGTGTGTGCAAATGTATATTCAGACGTGTTATGTGCGTCAATCAGTCTGTGAACACTGGCTGGCTGAAAAGTGTTTCAATGCCACACCAACAGCCCTGGCAATGTTTTAGCATTCTCCAAACAGTTACTGCTCCTTCAGCGTTCAGTTCTGGTAACACTCTGCTGGGGTGCTTCATCTACACCAGGCACACGACACAATGTTCTAGTTACTGTGGATCAACAGATTTAGGGGACACTGGGACTTCAAATAAAACAAATATCTGTTTTGCTACTTTTTATTTCAGAGATTCAACCTATGATCAATGTTCATTTCTGTAACACAATATTAATATCCATTAAAATACTACAGCATAATTAAAGACTAAATAAAAACATGCTGAGGTGTTTTTACTCCAAATATAAATCAAAACATTGGGCTACAGTATCCCCTGGTTAAGGAGTGCAGTTCTGATTAGGGATGTAATGATATTTCTAATTTTACAATATTCCAATAGAAAATGTTCTCGACACCATCATGGGACTGTGATGGTATCTACCAGGATACGACATATGATTATTTTATTAGTATAACTGAATTCAAGTCGCATTACTTAAAACTGACATAGCGGATGCTCCATTGTCACCTTTTAGAGCTGGTGTGTGGCAGCACTTCAATTCTCAATTTCAAGAAATGACATGAGTAGAAAGGAAACTGACAAAATGCATAAGGACGCAATACCATTCCCATTTAGGACTGAGACAGTCCTGAGCTGTTTTACACATGAACTCTGGACTATTTCAACGGAATCAGCCCCGGACTTTGTCCAGAGCTGCCCTTTCACACATGTAGCACAAAACCACTGATAGTCAATGTGAAATGTCTTCCAACCTACTGGAAATACTCTGTTTGGTTCACACGGTTACATAGCTCTTGCCTTCTCTGACAATTCTGGCACCAGCTCTTGCTGAAAGGAGTTCCCAAAACTCATCGTGTCTCCAGTTAAGATATTTTCATCGTAGTCTTCATTGTAAATGACATGATAAAACATCATTGACACACCCACTAGTCGAGATGGGCCTGATCCAATCTTGTATCAGTATCAGGCCTGATATTGTTGTCATTTACTCATCAGATATTGGACAGACAGGGCTAATCCACTTACCAATCCATATTCCAGTCCGCAGCCTGCGCTGGACCATGAACAGGCTGTAACCTAACATAATGTAGCATGAGACATGTCACTGATCCATATTTCATTCCACATCTTACCATAAACCCATGACAACTTCAATCTGTACCTAAGTGAGCAAATAACATTAGCTGTCAGTTTGACTAAAATGTCATTTGTTTGGAGATATTTTAGTCCGGAAATGCAGAAAAGCAAGACTTGTACTTGTATCACACCTAAAGCCTCATACAAAACAACCAGTTTAATCAATGGCCTGCTGAGGTTTCATGTGAAAGAGCACCAGGGGTTCATGTTAACCAACAGACAAGAAGATACCACCAGGCAGCAGACTCTTGTTGATGCTTTCAAGAACTGTGATAAACCTCCAGCAGACAACCCAAAAGCTAAGGGGATAACAGAGAAGTTGCTCAACTTCATAATACTCAATGACCAAGTCATGTTTATTTCTAGCCAAAAGTGGAGATTTGTAAATGTGCAACAATTTGGATAAATGTGTGTGTTGATTATTTTATAGCAATGGAAGAGCTCTTGTATCGGAATTGCCAGTTGCATATCGGAATCAGATTGGAACTAAAAAACAAAAAATGCAGATCAGTCCATTACTACCCACTAGCTCTATGTGAATACTCCGAGCTATACTCTGCTGTATTCTCACATGGGCTCACTCCAGCTCACTCGTACCATGACGTTTAGGTATCGTTACATCCCTAATACTGACCTTTACAGATGCAAGTGAAGACAATGTGTAACAGAGAAGGTGCCACTGTGAGGAGAAACATACCTGGACATCAACAGCAAACAGACATTTAGATATACCAGTATGGCCCTCATAACCAAGTTAGAAAAGACTTTACTAGTGATGCTTCACCTTGTGTGATCTGGCTGGAAGAAACTCTGAAGTAGAAGGAGCTCTGTTCTTTTCTCAGTAAATGAAAATATAAGGCTTTTCAGGTCACTGGTTTATATATTCAGTGAACACATAAGGTGACATGTAACTACATAAACATAACTGTAAGATTAAAGTAGGTAAACTTATGTGTGCTATAAACTAAATCTTAACTATGATAGAATTACCATACGCAAACAAAGTAAACACACAGGTTGACTAATCAACAAGCATAATGTTAATCTTCTACTAATTAAGTTCTTAATTCATCAAATGTTAGAATCAACCTTAAAGTATGACTTTGTTAATAATTTTACCCAACACTGACCTTCTGTTGAAAACACAACATGCTCAACTATCACAACTGACTGGACACAGTACCTGAAGTTTGCCAGCTCCCACTATCAGGCTACACAGGGGGCAAGACTAATATTTATCCAATGATATGAACATATTGTGGAAAAGAGAACAGTAAGGTAGCAGCACCAGGGCAGTCAATAACACATGCCTGTGTCACACATTAACCTTGAAGTATGAGAAGGACAGATAAAACAATCACAACACAAGGATCTGACCC